CCCTCCCCCAGTTCCGCCTCCACTCCACCACCCTCCTGGACTTGTTGGGTTTTGTTTGTGTTTGTTTGGGCGTCTGGAGCCGCCCTTAGAGGGGGGGATATGTAATGTGTTGTTTTGGGTTGTGTTTCTTGTTCATGTTTTCATGTCTTTTATTTTGTAATTGTTTCACCCTGTTAGTGTCATGCTTCCCTTGCCCTCATGTATCTCTGCCTTGTGTATGTGTCATGTTCTGATTGGTTGTCTTAGTCACGTGTCTTGTTTCCCATTGGTTTGTTCTTGTCTTGTGACCCTCCTTGTCTGCTATAAGTAGCCATCATGTTCCCATTGTGCCTGGTCGTGTATTGATGTTGTAACCCGCTGTCGGTGAGTCTAGTCTGTTCATGCCTAGTCAAGTCTGTTCATGCCTCGTCAAGTCAAGTCTGTGTCTCTAGTCTTCGTCTGTTTGGATTATGTTTGGATGTTTGGATTTCACCTTGTTTTGAATAAACTGCACTTGGGTTCTTCACTACGCTCGCCTTCAGTGGACTAACTCATTACAGACACAAGCTAATTTTCATTTTTGGGTGAACTAACCCTTTAAATCAACATTAAGCTGACTCAAAGTGCATAAATGAAACTTTTGTCTGCTGTATAATTTCTTATAGCTGAACTGAACTACTTTTATTTGTAAAAATTAACTTTACAAAGTTATTGAACTGAACCAACACTAAATAATTACTATTGTCTTTTTTTAGAGCTAAAATGTTTCATTAAATAAAACAATGTTTTTGGTACAATTTATGTTTGCCTTTTCCTGTAAAACCTATTCAATGTATTTACATTCTGTAATTACCTACTTTTTTTTATAGAGTGTTTCATTGTTGCTGGCTTAAAAGGATCAGTTTAGATTTTTTTTTTCAAGTTTTGAATGATTTCATGTTTTATTAATATTAATGTTCCTTTCAAGCTTTTAGAGCAATCTAGCCTATATAATGTTTGTCAGCTCTATTTTAAATATTTCTATAGCTAGATTTGGCTAGATGACCCATTTTGAAAAAGGTATCGACCCACTTAATGAACTGGTCCAGATCGGATCCAGGCCGGATGAGTTGCTTCATGAACAGGTCCAGATCGGATGAGCTACTCTATGAACAATTTCGAACCGGATTTGTGCATGTTGGGTGGTCATATTAACTCATTTTAATATATGAATTACCTTTGAGACACTGTGCTTACTACATTAACCTGCTCATTGATGCCCCCCTTTTGTCCTAAGTTACCTTATTGTGGACCGTCACCAATCTCAAATACATTCCCGGATAAATTGTACAAATTGTATGTTATGTTTACTTTAACCTGCTGCTCTCTCATTTAGGATTTTAATATGGATATGACTGTATAAATTGTATATTTGTATTAACAGACTTTGTGTGGTTGAGTGTCTTCTTGGCTACTGATGCCCATATAAATTATTTTGTCCAGTAAAGACCGGTTGGCCTCCTCCCTCGTTTGGGATTGTTACACTACAGTTATTGTTGACAAAAGATACATTATGCTGTTTTATGTAGGTTAACACATTTAAAACGTATAAATAGCACATTTAAAACTATCTGTACCAAACAAAGTAATATTGACATGATAAAAACACTGTTACTCACACTTGTTGGATCCAATATAGTCGGCACATCATCGTCTTTTAATTTCAATCTCTCTGAAAATCTTGCTTCTTTATTTACCTACTACACGTGCAAATCGGCATTGATCTTTTCCTGCACTATGACGTTATAATGTGAGAATTTCCAAAACGAGTCATTCTGGCAGCTTGGCTTCAATATAAGCTGTTTTTAGATGAACAAGAAAGTTAACTTACAGTATGTTTTTAATAGTGCCTTTATATTACCTTTTGACCTCTAATATGTCAAGTGATCAAGGAAAATTTGATTTCCCAATTCATGACCCATTTAAAAGATGAATGTGAACTGTTATGGACATCAAGCTATCATGGCAATATGTATTATTCATTTTTAAATATATTCCTTGTTACCTATACTACATTGAACATTTTACTTTTATCCAAATTATTTTCATTATTAGTGGGACATGGAAAAACAGTTATGACTTACTACAAAAATTATGCAATGTTCTTAGATACAGAAATAATAAACAAAACATCAAATGTAGTTAACAGTGAGTGGCGGTTTGCATCACGACAATAGTTTATTAATATAGGCCTTGGCAGAGTTCTGTAACGACTCTTATTCTGCCGGTTTTACCAATCAGATAAAAAGGGACATTTCAGTGCCGCCCACATGAATGAACGAAATATGGAAGCCATAAACTGATTTGTAAAACTGAAACCTAATTTTTCGTTTGTTAAACTAAACAGAAAAAATGAAAACAAGCCATCTTTCCAGTTCTCATTATTCTCATTTCAGATAGGATATCAAATGTGTAAAACATACACGGACCATTAACTCTTCTGAATCATGTTTCTCTCTTTTTTTCCACCCAAGGAGAGCATTCTATCCAAACACTGGACACACTTTGGTATGAATATTAAACTACAATCTGGCTCACCTACATTTTACACACGTTTTTACATTTAATCTGTGACCATGAGCACCATCTGAATTCTATCGCTAAATATTTTTAAACTGAAGGAAATTGTGTGCTTGCACATACAGTGATGCATCCACTCACCTGGAGGTTGAAGTTTGGTAGCAGTGATCGGAAAAACAAAGATAATGTGCTTTCATTTGAGGCCCCCATGTTCTGCCTGAAAACAGACATTTACACATTTTACAATTTAAAGGGTAAAAGTAAAAAAGAATGATTTTAAAATCAAAATGGTCAAACCTGAAAAATTGTATTTACTAGAAGGAAAGGCTGGACTATGTTAACGTCAATTCACGCTGCACTGACAGACACATACCAATGCAAACAGTCACTATATTACTGCACATGACTTCTCAGACATTCCACTACCCGATAAACCCAATTCAACATATTCAATCGGTAAAAACAAGCTCTGACTAAGGGTGTTCTATTTCAGATCAGTCAACGCCGACTCTCAACTCCCACCATATGAGTTGATAGAATCAACTCATCAACTCCATTTACTTCACATCAAAAAGGGGCCAAAAATAATACAAGATTGCAGTCGTTATTACACACTTAATTAATTTTTTTCCCCTGACATGATGCCGCTTTATTCAAACGACACACTTTTAGCCTGACTGCCCAAATTAATCCAATTTAGCAATAACATTACCTTGAAATTATCAACATCATGAGCTGTTGCCGATACCTAAATTTACTGAAGGAAAAGTCACGAGAAACAGCCATGGTCGGATATTAGGTCAGAATTAAATGTGAAAAAAGATATTCTTTAATTAACACATCTGATTATAATAGTCGGGTGATGGAGCTAAACACACATGATCATTGTCTTAAAAAGCATTAAAATATATAAAAAATAAATACAGTATGTACAAAATACAATAATGTACACTTATGGTTAGTTTAATGAACACAGAGGTTAACCATGGAATATTAGATGTATGTTTACTGGATTAATATCATAAACATCAATTAAATTACCAAGCTGGCACGGAGGTATGTATAATTACTAAAGTCACTATGACTGTTATTTATTTCTAATAGTTGTTTCTGTGACAGCTCCGAGTCTCTGATGCACGGTGTATAATACAACAGTTTTCAAATTCCTCCCTTTATTTCATCCACTCCTTGCTGATATAGTGCACTCAACTGCCAATGCACTATATGGCGATTAAAGAATCAGTGAAAAAGTGAGCGATTTTGGACACAGTAACAGACTTGACAACGAGAGTCAATTCCTGTGCTGGAGTCAACCCAGACTATAGAACTATTCAGAGTCAAGGAATCAACTCTTTTGGAGTCGACTCTCCATCACTAGCCCCGACCATGCCGGCAAGGGTAGTAACACACTGATCTGACAAAAACCAGAATAAAGTTTCTGTTGCCGTTTGTCGGTGTCTGTCTGTGCAGAGTGAATTTATTGATCTACTGAACATTCTGCTCTATTATTCATTTCTAGCAGTAACCTAGAGCTTTCAAGCTATGACCACCAAATTTCAAAACAAGTTAGCAACTAGGGCTGTGCAAAAAATCTAATGCGATTTTCATGCGCATCTCGTCAGTAAAGCCGCTTCTGGTGATTAGTAGTAAATCTCCAGCACGTGCTTTCAGATGGAGCGGCATTTACTACACAGAGCCATAGTTCACTGACAAGCTACGCAAAATCACATTCAAAATCGCAGGCGATTCATTGCCAATTATGAATGCAATTTTGTGTAGCTTGTCAGATTCGATTTTTTGCACAGCCCTACTAGCAACATTCTAAAACACGTTAGCAATTTTTTCATTGTATACTGTATACAGAGTATACTGATACCAATCCCATACTATAGCACAATTTTTTTTTTTAAACCGATGTAGAATTTTTATACCTGTGATCATCTGATCATCACTCTTTTGTCTGTTAAACACAATCTACTAAATATAGACAACTGCATTATAAAGAAAAATAACAAATAAAAAATATATAATCATAATCTATAATAAAAATACTATTATAAACTAGGTTAGTGGATAATTCAGCAGCAAAAGTTACTCTACAAAAAAAACATGAGTGCACAATAATTGTATAAAATCTAAACACGTAGTGAAAAAACATCATTTAGTGGGGAACAAATAAAAGTGAATAAGTGTAGGACTAAATCTGGTAAAATGTTACACATTGCTCTTTGTATTGTTGTAAAATACATTCATGAAGAACAAGTAAATATATTTCTATATAAATATATACTATAAAATTAAAATATTTTTTTTAATGTATAGCACAGTAATCAGGCAGCTACATATGATAAATAGGACAGAACAAGAAAGGCTATTCATTTTTCATTACGCAAAAGTACTATAATATGAAAGGCTCCAATACAGAGCGGCACAAAGCGCTTATGCGCATCCCATGCGCAGAATGATGCACTTGAAGCAACATGGAGTCACAGTGTGCAGCGCTCTGCATAGAAAAGTTTAAAGCACAAAGGGAAGAGATATTGATGCGTAGTGTATTATATCTGTGCAATAGTTTGAGCCTTTTCTTTTAACAGTTTTAAATTTCACTTACTGTGCGAGTGATGAACAATTCATAATGCTCTCTACTCCAGTGCTGTGATCTAACAGACACCTGGAAAGTAACATGATTTAGCCATGGTACTAAACTCCATCAAGATAAAGTCCTTTTATGCAAAACCATTGATCTTTATCTACAGATCAAGTATAATAATATGAACACTGAATCATCTTGGAGAGACTTTCATCGTCTTGACTGTTGTAACCAAACACAACAAGCAGTTTGAATGCTGAATGGAGGATCAGACAGCCGCAGCGGAGAGAACAGTTCATGTGAACTTGAATTTAATGACTTAAATATTCATCTGTACCTTACATTAAACTATGGAATGGCTTCAGAAGACTTGGAATATAGTGCACGGAAATTTTATGGTGCTTTATAATGTTTTTGTGCCTTTCGTGGGGCTTTACAATAACACAATAGTATACGCCCAATATCGGATTTGGATCATTCTCGTCTGACCAATACCTGATCCGGCAAAAAATGGCAGTATCGGAGCCAATGACCCATCAGTGTATATCAATGTAACTGAAATAATGTCAGATCATTTTCATTTCTCTTTCTTTAATGTAATACTATAAAATTAACAAAACTCATGTAAGAAACAAACAGAAACCTTTAAGACAAAAGAGAAAAAAAATTGCCTGGTTGCATAAATGTGCACACCCTTTTAGTATGACATGGTACAAGACAAAAGGCATGGTTGGTCGCATTTGTTTTCAGGAGAAGAATAACAGGAACATTTTGGAATGGACCATTAAGAGATAAAAAAAACAAAAAAAACACCTATGATAGTCCAGGTGATATGTGCAAAATGTGAGGTGATATGCTCACTTTTTCATAAAAGCATGAAACTTGGTACACTTGTACAATTTGGGGCCCTGAACATTTTCAGAAATGGAGTCATTGCAAAAACGCCTCGTGGTTGCCATGGCGGCCATTTTACTTTCCGCCATTAACAAATTATGTATTTTATGTCATATCTCCTGAATCAAACATGATAACACAGAAAAGGTGATGTCTACTCATATATTTTGATGGTCAATTACAGTGATACCAAATACAACAACATAAACTGTTCGGGTGAAGAGTTAATGGTGAAATCAGTGACGTGAGAAGGAAATCACAGTTTCTCAGTATGATAGCATCTACAATAGTCTGTATTATGGCTATTTATTTTCTCTTTCTTTGATAACTGACTAATATTTTATTCAGTAATACAATAAAAGATTGTTTTCAAGAATACAATCATATATTTCAGAGATTTAAAAAAAAAAAAAAAACACTCAGGTAAGTATATCTTTACTTATCTCAGGCAGAGTCAGGTAGGCAGTAGTGCGTAAGTGTTTGCTTAATACCTCGTTTCTGTTTCTGTTGTTTAGATTTTTATTTGCTGTTAAGAAGGGTTATTTCATTTACTATTTATATTTTTCTTCTTTCGTTATAATTTGTATTTTGATTGCACATATTTGTAATTAGAATAATAGCCATTGGCTAAGAAGAATCTTTTGATATTTGTATTGCTTGTTTACTGCACTTAAGTGGTGAACAGTCCCGCAGTAGTTTCGAGTTGAGCCATTTCCGTGCTATAGGCTTTTGGTGTGCTAATTGTCAAGGTGTCCACAGCTGTATTCACTCAAGAGTTGATAAGCTGTGCATTTATTTGTTATCTGTGCACTGACATGGAATACCTGTGACCTTCTTTTTCCCACATCTATCATGTGTTTCCAATACATTCCTGTTGTCTCTCAACAACGCTCTAATATCAAATGCAGATAGCAATGCAATCTTGCTAACCTTCGTCCTATCTACACCTCTTCTACTGCACCGGTCTCTTTTTTCCTGTGGGTCTCTGGAATTGTCAGTCAGCTCTCAACAATGACTTCATTCCAGCCACTGCTTCTCAGTCTACTCCTAGTATATCAGACTTTAACGGGACCTGGATTCGTCCAGAATGCTCAGCAACCCCTGCTGCCCTACTACTGCTTCTTCGTGAACATCGGACCAAACTCAGGGCAGCAGAGACAGAATGGCACAAATCAAAATATCCATCTGACCTGAGTATATACCAGTCTTTGTTTTCATCTTTCTCTGTTAAAGTCTATGCTGCCAAATCTTTGTATTTCCACAACAAGATCAACAGCACTTCAGACACATGTAATCTCTTCAAAACATCCAATTCCCTCCTCTGTCCTCCTCCACCACCTGTTTAACAGCTCATGATTTTACTACATTCTTCACAGACAAAACTAAAACCATCAGCAGTCAGTTCTCAGCTCCACACATGCAGGTATATACTCATTTTTTTCCCCCTTATCTTTCTCTGTACAGCACTTTGGTTCCAGTCGTGGTGTTGAAAGTGCTTTATAAATAAAGTTTGAGTTGAGTTGAGGAACTCAAACCAACCATATCCACTGCTAAAACTCCCCTCTCATCCTTCTGTCCCCTCACAGAGGCAGAAGTATCTAAATTTCTCCTTGCCAGCCATCCTACAACATGTCCTCTAGACTCAATCCCCTCACACCTTATCCAAGCAAGGTCTTCTACCAGCACTCGCACATATCATCAACACATCTCTTTTTACAGGCATTTTCCCCACC